GTGTCACTCCCTGCCACAGCAGTCAGGAGCACAGCCACCCTCCCTGGCCCCACTGGCACTGGCACACACACACATAATAACAGTCATCAGAAGTTTTGAGCAGTTAAAACTTTGATCCTCTCGAAAGAAGTAAAGTGGAAGAGTTGCTGAAGGCAATGATTTCCTGGGAACATGAGGAGTTCAAACACGGTCAAATAGAGGAGTAATAAAATAAACCCTTTCATCCTGCCATTTTACATTCATTTAAGCTACACTTACAGAACTGCAAGCTAATATTGTAGCAGCACTGAAGTCCTCCATGAAGTAATTACAGCTATTTGAAAGGTTGGTTCTACAATCTCTGAATTAAGCAAGCTAGCAAAGTACTCTGCTCAGGGCTGCTGCACCTAATCCTGGGGATTTCATGCCCTGACACCATGTGCAGCACAAAGAGCAGGAGGTGTCCATGGACTCTGCTGCCAACAGCTGCAGCAGCTGGGGCACCCTGTGAACAGCTCTCCAGCAAGATTCCCAGCTCCCACTCTGAAGGAGCAGTTCCTTCTGACACCTTGGGACTGACAGCTCCCACTCACTCGGACACTGACTTTAGTGGCAGTGGACTATGGGAAGGGAGCAGAGGGTGGGAGAACCATGCCATCAACAAAGGGAATGCTTCAGGGTGGAAGGGACCTGTTAAAGACCATCTAGCCCAACCCCTTGCCATGAGCAGGGACATCTTCCACTAGCCCAGGTTGCTCCAAGCCCCATCCAGCTTGGCCTGGAACACTCCCAGGGTTGAGGCAGCCACAGCTGCAGGAAAAGAAGGGGCAGGAAAAGAAATGGGGAGAGGATAAAAGAGGATCTACTCTTCTTCTGTGATGCATATGGAAAACTTCCCTTCAGCAGTGGTCTGAAATCTGCTCTTCTGAAACATCACTTGTGGAGCAAACTCAGGTCTGGCCTGATGTGTCAGGAGACTGGAAAGACTTTCTCTTTAGGATCTCCTGGATTTACTTTCCAAGAGATACCAAACTTATACAAGATCAGTATCCAATGAGAACTAGATCTGCCCAACCAAGGATGGGCAGGAATGTCACCTTCCCTCACCCCACTGTTTCTCTGAGCTGAAGCCAATGGTGCTCAGTGCTCCCATGGACAAGGAGGACACTGGCCACTCATGCCACATGGAGCACAGCCCCAGAACAGCTGCTCTGGGAAGTGGTGAGTGCCCCCTGCCCTCACTGGTGGAGACATAACCAGGGTTCAGGTGGTACCTTGTTCTGAGGGTGTCCAGGCAGACTGGCAGGTACTTATCAAACAAAATGGTCAGGTTGGCTCTTTCAGACTGGACCTCTCTCCTGTCAATCCAGCTGCTCACTGGAGGATTCCAGCCCAGATCCGACGGGTTGATGTACAGGATCCCTTTAGGTCCAGGGGAACAGAGCACATACAATGAGGACACAGCAGAGATTATTCCTTTTCTCCACCAAAAGTTCTCAGCACCTTTCATACAACTAAATACACCTGGTGCCCCATTCCTGCCCCACTGTGGAGGATAAACATTAACAGTGAACTCAGGAAACCAGGACACTTTTCTGACTCCACCCCAAATTTAGAACATGGTGTTGCCTGTCTCACTGCTTTGGGCTTCAGACACTAGGGAACACCTTCATTCCCTTCTCCCATGTACTTCTCTGAAAGATCAGGAGCTCTACAGCTTAAACTGGCCCTCTCCTCATGAAGCCCATCCAGAGCTGGGCAGGAGTGCTCCCCTCAGCCATGACCACACAGCAGCAGTTGGAGCACTCCAGGCACATCCCTAAGATGATTACAGCTCCCCATGTGGATCTGGGTCAGGATCCTCAGCGTGTCCATGTGCTCCAGGAACCTTCCCTGCCCACCAAGGGAGCTGTGCTCCCAGGCTAGGAACTTTCAAGAGGGACCAAGATGGGAAACAAAAGACTTGTTAAGGGCACCAGATCCCATCTGCCCCAGGGTGAAGCTCAGGCCAGGACTCACCTGCTCTGGACACGGTCGCTGGAGTGGCTGTGCGCAAGTGGCTGATCTCAAACACCAACCTCATTGTTGGGTTCAGGAGGATCCTCTCATTGCTGGCCAGGGTCAGCACCTGCAGGTGGCAGACAGACAAACAGGCTAAAGCTCCCCAGGGAACAGGAATAAGGAGCATTCAGCACTTGGCACTTCAGAGCTTGGCTGCTCAGCCCAGGTTGGCTGGGCAAAGGGATCATTCCCACAGTGTGCCCAGGGAGGGGATTCTGCCCCTCTGATCTGCTCTGCTGAGACCTCACCTGCAGTGCTGCCTCCAGCTCTGGATACCCAGCACAGGAAGGACATGGAGCTGTGGGAGCCAGTCCAGAGGAGGCTCCAACATGGTTAGAGGGATGGAGCACTTCTCTACGGGGAAAGGCTGGGAGAGTATTGGGATTGTTCAGCCTGGAGAAGGCTCCTGGGTGACCTTATTGCAGCCTTCCAGTGCCTAAAGGGGCTCCAAGAGAGCTGCAGAGCGACTTGGGCAAGGGCCTGGAGGGACAGGACGAGGGGAAAGGCCTCCCACTGCCGGAGGGCAGAGACAGATGGGATATGGGGAAGGAATTGTTCCCTGTGAGGTGCTGAGGCACTGGCACAGGTTGCCCAGAGACGCTGTGGCTGCTCCATCCCTGGGAGTGTTCCAGGCCAGGCTGGACAGGGCTTGGAGCAACCTGGGCTGGTGGGGTGTTCCTGCCCATGGCAGAGGGTTTGAACTAGATGATCTCTAAGGTACTTCCAACCCAAACCTGTCTGTGATTCTATGATATGATTTTTAAGAGGCAGTGGAATGATCCTTCTGTCTCCCACAACCCACAGCTCTATCTCAGGGTGGGCAAAAGGTGTGGAATTATAACCCTACTCTGTTTTTCAAGGGCCTGAAGTTATGATCAGGACAATTGTGATTCCTCATGAGTCTGACTCTCCAGAAAAGGGAAATTCCAATGAAAACAAGCTCTGAGCTATTTCCCTCATGCATCATTTCCTTTAGACAATACTGTTTGCTACGTCTGAAGAAACACAATTGCATTATTGCAGGAGGTGTTATTTCAGCATCTGCATTTCTCCCAGGCTGAATCACACCTGACAAGGAATATCTGCTTCCTTACCTGATATTCATTACCTTATTATCATCCATCACAGTATTAAGAGACTCAATCCACATCGGATCAATATCTCCATCTAGCACCATCCACTTGGGCCCATCATGTGTCATGTTGGCCAGTTCTCTCATGATCGATGAAAACAGCCCTGGGAAGGTGACAGGAATATGCTGATGGACACTGAAATTGTCACAGCTTTTTTCTAGCAACTTGCTAAAAATTATGTTTTCCTCTTAAACATTCATAACTCTTTGCATCTGTACATAAATATTACTATATCATGATACCTACTTTAAAGAGAAAACCCATTATCAGCTCCTAACACTGAAAATGACTTTGGACCTACACAAGCTTCATTCCCACTGTGAACCATAAGGGATAAGGAAAATGAAGAGCAGCTACTCAGGGACAAAAACAAGCACAATGTAGAGAAAACCATCTGAGTATGCCTTAGAAATTCTTATAAATGGGTTTTTTTGTAGCTTGAAGTCTATCATGGAAATCAAGATGCATTAAACGCTGGGTCATGGCTTCAGTGAGATTGAGGGGAGAACAAGCACAGGCTGACATTGAGTGACAGAACAAAATGTCAGGGAAATCAAGGAGACAGAGAGAATACAGTGTCTCAAGGGGAGTAAATAATGAATGTTAAGAAGAGCAAGAAGCTGGGAAGAGAGCAGCAGCACTGCAGGGCAAATGGAGCTCCACAGAGCCACTGCATTCCTCCACACGAGGAGCTACCTAGGGAGAGGCTAGTCTGCACTAAGGAATGCCAGGCAAGTATGAAAACCAGCCTCTTTGCTGGTGAATTGTGACAAGCACTCTTTTCTTCCTCCAGGACAAGCTATTCCCTTGTGAGCCAGGTCAGGAATGGCCTGAGGCATTCTGCGGCTGAAGACAAAGCTCATGCATAACAGATGCAGAGCCTGACACAGGTACCTGAGTCTGAGATTGGGTCAAAACCCACTTCAGTGGCTCTGCCTTGACTCCATGCCTTACATGTTGCCCACATGCCTTGGCAGTCACTCCAACACCATTAGTGTCAGGAATAGCTCCTGTCTCAGAGCATCAGTGTTTCCCTCATGTACACCACGACAGCAGTGGGGAGGGAAGTGTCCCTCTCCCAGTCCTGTGCATCCACACCACACAGAGGTCTCGGCATTGAAAAGAAGAATTGGAGCCACTTACCATCTTTCCATTCTCTTGTTGCTGGGTTAATGATGCCAAACAGCTCATCATTGGTGACTGCCTTGGGGTTGAGGTCTGTCCACACAGGTCGGCGCTTCATTATCTGATAAGTCTTGTGCAGGGACTTCAGCACCTGTGACTTGCCTGTCCCTGCGTTCCCCACCACGAACACAGAGTGCCTGACTGTCAGCAGCTCCTCCAGCTGCACCACCTGGGGAAACACACTCCTAGAGCTTAGACAAAGATGGCAAACTGCAGTTTAGATCTACACAACCTGGTCTGGTGGAAGGTGACTCTGCCCATGGCAGGGGGTTGGAACTGGAAGGTCTTTAAGGTCCTTCCAACCCAAACCAGTCTGACATTCTGTGATTGTGCAGAGTCCTCTTTGCAGAAGCAAAGATGGTTGAGAAAACCCAACTGATTGTGGTGTAGGAGGGCAGAAGATCACTTACTTTGAGCACAAAGTTGTCCTCAGGCTGCAGCTGCAGCTCCAGCACAGCCTGTCGCACTACCGCCTCGAAACCCAGGTCCCGCTTCCGAGGCACATCCAGGGCAGGGAACAGGTCCCCAATCAGCCCCAGAAACACTGGCAGGTCATCTGTCACGACCTTGGGGACATTGAAGTCCCTCAGGGAGCGCATGAGGACCTGCTCTTCAGGTCGCTCTGGGTCGGCGCGCTTGAGGGAGCCTGCAACGACCAGCACTGACTTGATTGCACGCAAACCCCAGTCGTAGTGGTCCTGTGTGGGAAAAGGAAGGGGAAAAGAGAAGAGAGGGAAGAATTTACGCCTAGACAGTACCACCATGCAGGGCTAAAAACCAGCAGCTCCCAACTGCCAGAGCAGTCAGCAATGGAAGTCCATCCAGATCTGTTATCTGTCGGGAACTCAGGACAGTCTTCACAAACCCCTTGCAGGCAGCAGAAACAACTACAGGCCTGGAAAGCAAAGGGTCACTGAACACCACCCCAACCATGGCAGCACTGGAGCCCTTTGAAAAGTCTCTCCCACTAAATGCAGCTGACCAAGTACTTTTGGACCTGCAAATCCTCCAGGAAAGCAGATTGAACTGCTGATCACAAACCTCCTCCTCTCCCAGCAGCTGCCACACGTGCAGTCAGTAGATGAAGGCTGTGAAGCTTTAACCATGGAGGTGCATGACTGAGTGCCACGTTCCTCATTTGGGGGACCCACAGGCTTCAGTGTGCAGCCCAGGCACAGCAGAGAGCTCACCTGCTTGGACAGGAGCTCTTTGCAGAGTTGGTAGAGAGTGATGAACTTCCTGGCCAGCGCCCGGGCCTCGATGAACCCCTCAGCCACCAACATGATCTCGCAGATCAGCTCAAAGTCTGGCACAACCATGGCACAGGGCCTGAGGAGACAGGCATGGAAAGGCTGCAGAGCAAGTGTTTCTGACCACAAATCTTAAGGGCAGCTTTATCTTCCAGGTATTCTCCTGTGAGTCAGGTCACACAGTGCCTTTCCCACAGCAAGAGACAGCTCCTTTGCCCTTACTCTGTATTCCCTGGTCCAGGCTTGGTGCACAAGGCTGAAACTGAATCCCCAATGCACATGAATGTTCCAAGAAAATGGGCTGTCCCAATGTCTCAAATGAATGTCCCAAGCCAAACCTGGATGTTCCAAAAGACAATTTCTACCATTTTTATAACACAGGTCACAAACTTGCCCTTGACTCACCTGAAAAGAGCTTTTAAGTTCTCGGGTAGCTCCGTTCGTCCTGCATAACCAGGGTTCATGGTGATGAAAATGCCTACTGAGGGGACTAAGTTGATGTCTTCTCCAAGAAAATTGAAGGATTTCTTCTTCTCCCTTATTGCATCCTGCACACTCTTCACCTAGGGACCAAGACAGTGCTTAGTGCTGGTGTCCAGCTGTGAAACCACACAGACAGCAGTGCTGCCATCCTTGCCCTTGGCCCATGATGGCTGGGGCTTGTCACTACACTGGTTTGGGATTTTTCTGACAATATAAAGCTTTACAGACTGTCTGGAGTAAATTTGTGTGTCAGTATCAATCTCCCATCACAACCCAACTCTGACAAAGCAGAAAAGAGATGAAGAGACTGTGCAGTCAAACTGGAAAGGAGCTGCAAGTGTTTGCTCTGTAAGACAGTGATGGACATGGGTGAAGGGAGAAGGAAATGGCCCCAAAGCTGCCTGAATCTCATCTCAGTTTTTGACATCACCTGGGGAACACTTTTCAGTACATCTTACAGCAAATACAACATCAAAGGCTAAATCATCTCTTCAGCTTCCCAGCCCAGGTGAGGCCACACACCAGAGATGGTGCAGAGCACAGCACAGCCAACTCCAAATGCAGCCTCAGGAGTCTCCCACAACACAGGTCCCTGATTCCCTCCACCCTCCTTTGCCCCCCCCCATACCCTGCTCTTCATCACAGCCCAAACCTTCGTGTGCCTGCTCTGTTCCTTGAGCAGGCCTAGAAAAGGAGTTGCATTCCCCAGGAAACTTGGGCTCAGCTCAACTGCAAATGGATCCCTTGATATTGCTTTTAAAGGCTTTGGGGATATCAGAGGCTTAATTTTAAGCCAAACTCACAGGGCAGAAGCTGGAACACCTCTCCTGACACTTTCACCCACTACTATTGGCCTGACTGCAGCTTTGTTCTTCTCATTCACCACCTTCCCAAAGGAACAAGTTTCTTACAAGCCAGATCACCTCATTCCCCTCCTTCCAATGGGAATGAGTCCATCACAGCCAGATTCCCTCATTCCTCACTTTCCCAAGGGAACAAGTTCCTTACAGCCAGATCACCTCATTCTCCTCCTTCCAATGGGAGTGAGTCCATCACAGCCAGATCACCTCATTCACCACCTTCCCAAAGGAACAGGTTCCTTACAGCCAGATCCCCTCATTCCTCACTTTCCCAAGAGAACAAGTTCTGTACAACCAGCCCTACCTCCTTGCAAACAGCACTTCAGCAAGGGAGGGATCTCTGTTCACTGCTCTAACCTCACTCCTGTTTGCCATCTCAAAGTAAAGCAATTAATGGAGTTTCTCTGCGAGGCCCCACATCAACATGAGCTGCGTGACTACGACAGCCAATTAACCATTGCCATGGTTACGTTCCTAACAGCAGCCAGGAGAGGATGATGGAATGACAGCCCTGCCGCTGCCTCAGCTGCTCCAGCCAGGAGCCAGGGAATCATTAGCAGTTGAGTCATATCTGAGCTCCTTTTGTTCAGCTTCCCTTTTTATTTTAAGATCCTCAAAGACTTTTTTCAATGACAACTTTAAACTAGAACCTGACGGAAGAGAAATGGAGAGGGAACGACACAGCAACGGCTGGACCCGCCTGGGACTTCTCTGGGCTGTCACGGAGGGTACAGTGATGAGTGAACAAGAGATGAGAAGAGTGAGGAGTTCATGGAGGGCTTCAGAACAACTCCTTTGACCAAAACATTTACAGAAGTGTAGAAACTTCTGGGCTCCAGATCCTTCTCTCTGCAATGCCAAGCCCCAGAGAGAGTCTAGGCAGAATTCACACCCCAAAACCTGCACACAGCTGACTCTTGGGTCCAGAAGAACTTAGATACTTTGGTAGCTCGATTTTCAGCAATGAAGTCCCCAAAGCTCAAAACCTTCAGTCCTGCCCATGTGGGAGCTGTCTGCACTGGGGTCTGAGCACCCAGCTGCTACTCCAGCTCCTCTGGCAGTTGATTTAACTGGCATTTTCCGAGGATTCCCTGGAGATTTAGTATCCGGACAACACCCAGACCCAGCTCCCCTTCAAAGCACAGACCAGAAGCACTGGCAGGGCCTTGCTCTCACCCTGCTGCCCTGTGGTCAGACCTGCACTTCCCAGATTTCAGGGACAGCCACAAGGGACCTCAGAGCACCTGCCAGGAGTTGAAGGGGCTCCAGGGAAGCTGCACAGGGACTCTGGGTTAGGAGCTGCAGGGACAGGACATGGTGCAATGGGGAAAAATTGTAAGAGGGGAAATTTAGGTTAGATCTTAGGCAGAAGTTTTCCCTGTGAGGGTGGTGAGACATTGTCCCAGGTTGCCCAGGGAGGCTGTGGCTGCCCCAACCCTGGCAGTGTTCACAGCCAGGTTGGATGAGCCTTGAGCAACCTGCTCTGGTGGGAGGTGTCCCTGCCCAGGGCAGGGGTTGGGGCTGGATCATCTCTGAGCTCCATTCCAGCCCTTAACATATGAACATATACTATGAAGTTGTGACTTGGGAGAAGAAGCTGCAAAGATTTGTCTCAACACAAATGCAGTAAGAGGGTGAAGAAACGAAATCACAAAACTTAGTGGCACTTCACTGCTGCATTTCACCAGGGCTGTGATGCTCCTGATTGCTCTTAGGGTATAATCCCTCACTGCCCACACACAGACTGAGACTGGCAGCACTCGATGTCCATATTTGCCCTCACTCTGAAGGCTGCAGCTTGGCTCTGCCTGGTTTGTATTTATTCACAAGCTTTTCTCCACTTACCTGCACAGCAACCACAGAAAGGACCTCGACTGAGATCCTGTTAAACTCATCAAAACAGCCCCAGGCTCCAGTCTGGGAAAGGCCTTTGTAGATATTCCCACAAGACTAAAGAGAAAAAAAAGAAAAGAAAATGACAAGAGTGAAATCACAAATGGAATCAACTCCAGCAAAAATGGATTTTATTTCCCAGCCTGTTTATTTATAGCAATTTACAGTCTATTATGGGTATTTAGGAAAGTGCATGGGAGCAGCAGGCACAGCTCAATTATAGTATTTATAACTCTGCAGCGTTTGCCACTTGATTTGCTAATTGCACTTTCTCTCCATCTCTACACTCTGGTCCCATTTAAAGGTCGCCTGGGCTGGGTGACTGATGGCTCTGCTTCCACGAGGGACCTCAGATGGATAAAATATGATCTGAGGCCACCAAAGCCACCACACTGTGGCAGAGAGGGCTCAGTGCCACAACCCAGAGATCTGCAGTGGCTCAAGG